TCTGATGGGACTCAAGTGTGAACCAAGAACTTTGGCCACTAAGGCCTGTGCCCTGGTCACTGCCCCTTCCCATCCTGGGTGGCACATTCCCGAGCAGATCCTTCTCCTCCTCTCCATCTGGGTGCCCCCCATAACTCCCTGCTGGTGAGGCTGCAAATGTGGATACCAAAAGTCACTTCAGCTCCCCACCCCCCAGTTCAGAGGAGGATCACAAATTCTCATATCTGACCCTGTGATCCTCCTATTCCCAAACCTTTCACCCCTCACCTATAGATCTCACTGTTCAATACAGCAGTCCAGTTCTTCCCACTTCTCAGCCCCTTCCTGCACCCCCCTATCTTGTCTGCTTGGGTGTGTCACCTCCTCCACGAAGCCCACAACCCCCAGCACCAACCACCCATTTGTGCACACAGCTCCCCTGCCCTCACCATGGGAACCTGTGTGTCAACCGGCCCACTGGGGGGTGGTTTACATGGGCTGAGAGCCCCAAGGGCCAGTGGGGGCAAGACAATGGTGAAGGCTGCCTGGAGGTAGAGGTGACTAGCTGCAGGCCACCCAGCTGGTCTCCTAAGTCCCCCAGCCAAACAAGGCATCTTATGGCCATGATGTATGAGTTTAAGTCCCAGGTCTGGAGTCATCATATTTGCACACGCACTTGAGATTAATGCTGGACCAGCGGACTAGGGCCCCAGCAAGTTTGTGGGTAAGAATGGCACTGTCTGGGCCCCACAGTAAGGGGGTTGGTCGTGGGTATCCTGTAAGCACCAGGACTGGGAAGCCCCCTCCCTACCCCAGATCTGACATCCTCTCTCACCTGCACATGGGCAGGACACAAGTCAGGAGTTTTGTTAAAGCAAGCAGGCATCCTCGACAGCAGTCTCTGAGGAGCCAGGTGTGGAGTGGGCTTGTCCCCAATCACTCCCACTTCCCCCCAACACACACAAGGGTGCCCCGCTCTGACTCAAAAACTCCCTCCTATAATTGATAGGAAACAACCTTGAGTTACATTCAAACAGGATTTCAGCCAACAAGTAACCTAATGGTGAAATACCAGGTATCTGTAACACCAGTGGGGTGCTTTGGGTTTCTGGACGTCCTACCACAGAGGCCATGTAAGCAGAAACTTCCAGGCTGGCCTGGCTTGAATTAAGGGAGACAATGGTTTCCATGAAGGGCTTGGTAGACAGTGGTGTTGTTACATGCTGGTGGGTGTGAACTGCCGACCTTGCGGTTAGCAGTCCAGTGCTCATTGCACAGTGCCATGCAGTTAGGTGCTCAGTGAATGAGGGCAGCCTTCCCGACTGTGACTAAGTGAAGGCACAATGGTAGGCAACATCTCGCTTCTCTGTGGATGCCATGTACTGACCACAGAGCAAGGATCCTAGAGGACTCACACCCTGGAGGACTCATTTCCCTGAAATCCACTCTGGGAAATGCTGTGTCAGGCCCCCTTCTGAAGACTTGGCATCCCGCCCTGCTACCAAATCAATCTGAATTGTTATCAGCGCTATACACACATGTAGTTGTAGAAGCAGTAAGCACGTTCCTCTCTCAAGGAAAACCACTCTGAACTTTCAGCTTTTCTTCTGTGCTTACCTCTGTAACTCTGAAGAGCATGCTGGGCTGCTCTCTTGAATGTTGAGTTGTAGACTCTGACCCTCCCACTGTGGGTGATGCGCATTCAGCTTTCACACTCTACACCCACACACCTGCATGCATCCTGAGCTGCAAACACATTTTCACTAAAGCAGTATTATTTGTATGCATACATTACAGTTGAAACATGTAGGGTCCTATGGTTGTACTTCCTTTAATACTTTTTAGCTTGGCAGTAGTCTTTATTTACTGAATTTTCTGTGTCTGCTCAGACCCGTAGACCCTCTCGCAGGCCTGCAGCCAGACGAGCTCTGCTGTGGGCCTGAGCACTCTGCTTGAGTCCCTCCCTAACACCCTCTTCTTCTCCAAACTCCACATCTCTGCTCACCCCTTTCTCAGGCAGCTGAGGGTAGCTGCAAAGGAGGCACATTTTTTGAGGTCCCTATTGCTATTGTTTCCTCACAGTGCACCCCTTTCTCCAGGGCAAGAGGGGCTCCTTGCAGGTCTCTGGATGTTGGCTGGGCCTGTGTTGCCAGGTGCTACCTTGAACACTGTGCTTTTCGTACCGTCGGCTTCTGTTGCTATAAATGAAAGCCAGGGTGCGACAGTCTTCTCTGCTGTCTGGTGACTGACAGGTGACAGCTCGTTCCTGTAGGCAGATGAGCTGAGTGCGTTTTGACTGTTCCAAAGTCACGGTCTCTCTTCCCCTGCCTGGCTGACCTTCATCACACACTTTCACTTCTCTGAAGATTTCTTATCATCCTCAAGACAACTGCGTGGGTATTATCTTTGCCATTCCTTCGGTCACACACACCTGTCCTGCATTCCCTGACTCTTCCTTGGGTAGGTTTGGGTCTGAAAGATGCTGACCTCCCACCATCCAGGCCTGCCATACCCCTTGGGGGCCTTTGGAGCTGATGTCTATTCTCCAGCCCTTTCCTAGACTCTCTCGGATGAATCTAAGCGGCAACTGCTCCTCTGAGGAAAGACAGAAAGTGGTGGCATCCGCAACCAAGCCCCAACTGTCTTTCTCACAGGCACGTTGCCAAGGGGCTTCTCTAGTGGCTTATGTTATTACCAGGCCCAGGGAGTGATAGCCAGTAACAAGAGGACCCACCGAAAGGCCCAGAGATGTGGGTAGAGCATCCATGCCTCTCAGTGACCAGTACCAGTGCCTGAGTTAAAACACCCAACCCTGAGCCAGGCAACCGGCAGTACAAAAACTGCTGAAGGGGGACTCCAGCCGGCACTGTGGGGGTCTGATTGCCAGTCAACAGGGCCTGAGGTCAGAGGTCCACTTGGAGAGGACCCCCACCACTGACCACCTCCCCACATGGCCCACTGGTGCTCCTTTAATCCCATGACAACCACTGCGTTATGGATACCAGTAGGGTTAAGTTTCTGGGATTCATTTCTGTTGTCAACCTTTATGACCAAGTGCCCCTACTGGCCCTAAGGAGCCAGCAGGACCAGCAACCAGGAGAGACTGGACCCCTCAGAGTGGCACAGAGGGCTCCCCATGCACACAGCTCCCATCTTGACGCGCTCTGGCCCAGGAGACAGTCTGCGATTTCCCCAGATACTTGGGTACTGGTGAAAAAGAGATCCAAACTTTCATATGATTGGTTTAATTTTTTTTTTTCAGCAGGAGAAAAAAGAATAAAGTTACAAGATTCTTTTAATATTTTCACAATGTTAAAACTAAAACTGAGCTCTAGGCTACGTGTGTAAGTAAATCTAGAACACAAAAGGGTTAAATAAGATTTTCTCTTTTAAAGATACAAGAATTTAAGCTTTCCTTACGTTTAACGAACTTCACAGAACAGATACTGCAGGGGCAACAAGCCCTCCCACCTCCCCCCAGCTCTCCCGTCATGACGTGTCTTCTTCCTGCCGCCCGAGGCCTCATGGAGCTGGTGGAGCTGGAGAAGGGCCCGGAAGGGTGAGCAGTGGCCTCTCCAGGGCCAGAGCTTGGCGGGGGTGTCGGCAGGGCCCACCTCTCTCACTGAGGATGGTCACCTATTGGCCAGAGGGCTGTGGCTTGACAACAGTGGTAAACGTGGGGCAGACCTGGCCCCTCTGCCTGGTCTGGGTCCTGAAGCAAGAATTAAGGCTGGAGATTCTGCAGTGGATCCCACTCAGGTGGGGGTGTGGTGACGAGGGGACTGGGAAGAGCATGATTTCCTGATTCCGTACTTCAGATCAAAAAACATTGGTAGTTGCAGGTGTTCAGTTGTTAATTTGCAGGCAGAGTTGAACAGTTGTTTTTTTATAAAAAGGAAAGTTGCTGGGTTAAACTAGTCCAGTGGCCTATGTATGGGCAGATGGGAGCCACCTACCTCATCTGGATAAGCCAGGGCTCAGGCTGTGGAGCCTGTGGGACCCCTGTTCTGCCTCCGAGACCCAAAAACGCTCACCCACCCACCCATCACATCCCACAGGAGCAGCATTCTACACTGCCACTTCTGCACTCCCCTCTGTCCCACATGGGGGGGAGGACAGATTGAAAAACACGCCCCCACTGCCACTTCTACCAGAGCAAATGTCAACCATGGAGCTGGACCACTGCCCTGGACAGACACACCCGTGTCTGGGGACCTGTGAGATGGATCGCCTCCCCCCGCCCTTCAGCTTGCCTGGGGTGGGGGGGGGGGGAAAGCAGGTTGTCTTGGGATTGTGGAGCACTGAGAAACGAGAGCGGAGGCCCTGGAAAGGGCACAGGCCAGGCAGATGAGGCCTCAGCTGCTCCCCAGCATATCTACTGCCTTGTGTTGGCTCTGAAACGCCGTTACATCTCCAATATAGAAAGCTAGCTGCAAAGCCAGTGTGCCACGGTTAGCCTTATCTGATCACCTGCCAGGTCTTTGCACTAAGCCAACGGCCAACCCAGAGCCAGTGGGGCGCTAGGGTGCCCCTGGTTGCTCCTTAGGACCACGGATCCTGTGTAGTAAATGTGGTCTCGTTCGTGAACTAGTCTTGAGTGGAGCTAATTTCCAAAGTGAGGTTATTGTTTTCCTCTCCTGTGATGAGAGAGCTTTTTCATAGTAAGTCAGGTAAAAAAACTGTCCTAAGAATCTGCCTCCCCACCCCCATCCCGGCTCTGTGGAAGAGTGAGGCCACCCCAGCCTGGCCACAGGGCTCATCGCAGCAGCCACCTGTGGCCGAGGCACACATGGCCCCCAGGCCTCGGGCTGCTGGGACTAAGGATAAGTGAAGAGGTGAAAGGCTGAACATTAAACAGTTTCTGGCAAAGCCATGTGCGAGTCCTGGGACCGTGAACATCAGTTTCTACTCCTCTATTACTCAGTCTCCACCTGGAACACTTTCTGCTTAAGGCTTTTTATAAGTTTGACTCCAGCAGTGACAGGTATGTGTTGTTTTAAATCCACTAGCCATGCTCAAAAAAAATATTCTTCATGTTTTAATTTTATACAATGGCTAGCAGGCACCTTAGTAACCAGCCAGAAATCAATTTCAACCACCATCAACCTCTAAACTACAGTACCAGGATGGCTGGCTAAAGAAAGGAAACAGACTGGCTGTAGTCTGACACGTGCCCAGTACAAGGTGTCTGGCTGACTTTGTCCTAAATAAGGCTAACATTAGTGAACTAAGAACAGCGTCAGGTGGCGGCCGCGCCTGGCCTTCAGGAGCACCCCTCCCCAATGCGCTGGCAGGAGCGCCCCACTTTCCGGTCCAGTTTCACCATTTTCATGATGGCTTCCTCTCGGCCGCGCCCCATGTGGTCAAATGTACAGTCATGCTGCTCAGGGAGGCGATGTAACATACAGAACACGTAACCTGCAGTGGTGGGATAAGCAGAGGAGGCAGACTGTTAGTGACCACTGTTCAGAGACTGGAGGTGGGCATCGGGGTGGGCTGGTGCATGAGGAGCCTCACCTCACTCCCATGGCTGCTCTTGCTGGGATCCCTGAGCAGGGAGGTCCTAGCTGACTGTGGGCTCTGAGCCCCCTCTCTGCCACAGTCATCATGCAGGCAGTGCACAGAGCAAGCGGCTAGCTCAGCACTTTCCTGCTCGGGCCAACAGTAATATCTTGATGGGACATGCCATGTCCGGGAGGGAGGGGAAAAGATGACTTCAATTACATTCCACCTCCTGGCTACAGGGGTGTGGGGATGTGTGGGCTCTCAGAGGAGACTAGGCTATTTCAGTTCTGGAAAAGGTTCTGCACATCCATGGAGGAAACTGGCTGCCTCTAGGCTCACTGTGGGTGGGAGGAGAGGTCCCTGCACGCAGGACCCCCCGGCACCCCGACTTCCTGAAGTGGAGCAGCTGCTGAGGAGACAGATGGGCCCTTTGCGGTTGGAGTCAGAACACCCAGAACACACTGGTCTGACAAGGGTACAGGCAAGGCGCACAAAGCAGGGAGATGGTCAGGTGCATGTATGGGGACGGGATACAGTTGTAGCCTCCTTTCAGAAAGGGTGGGAAGGAGGTGGAGAACTGAGTTAGAAGACACTAGAAGGGCAGGCTGGCTCCTCATCCCATCAGTTGTCTGGCCACACCTCCAGGCCCAATCCTTTCCCCAGCCTGGGTCTATGCACAAATCCGAGGTGTCCCCACAGCAGACCTGTTAGGGCCACACTTTCCATGGCACGGCATCTCTCCTGAGAGGCCAGATTCAGGGCAGTCATCACCCACCACACGCCTCCCATTTCTTTTGGGGTGCCTTGGGGGAAGGGTATGACTATAGAAGACTAGCAGGAGCTAAACAAGGATTGAGTGGCTAGAAGAGCCAATGGTTTCAATCGCCCTTAACTTTTAAGATTAACTTCACTCAGAGAATATTCCATAGCCTGGGGTGGGGGGTGTTTGCAGTGTGTGTGCACCCCAGGCCCTAATGTCCTGAGCTCAGGCTGCGAGCAAGGGCAAGTGCACACACATGAGGGTTCTGAGTGACCAGGTCGATCCTGGGCCATCCATTTTGCAAGAAAACACATTATTAACTGCTTCCCAGGGAAAGCAGGGCAGTATGTTTGACTAAATTGGGACTGGGTTTAAGAAAAAAGAACAGAGATGAAATTTTTGTCTCCTGAGATGCTGAGCTCCCACTAGGTCCAAAAGCAAAGTTAAGATTAATGAGCTCATGTGCTATATTTACTGATAAGTTCATTACTTGAAGATATTGGATACCAATTGTCTTTCTCCTACAGGATTTCACTACTGAAGCGTGGATGGCCTCAATATGCAGCTGCCACCTAACAACACACACACAATCATCCTTTCAGAGCAAACCTCACCTGGTCTGGAAGGATCTGTCTGACAAAACAGAGCTTGGGGTGGGGGCACCAACAGAACGGCATCATGATTTATCGACAATCTAACACCCACTCCTAATGTGCTCTGTGCCTTCAGAGTCTAGAATCAGGGGCGGCCCTTCTCTTCCTTTAACATGTTGAGATGATTCAGGACAGGTCTCAGAGCTCCTCCCTCCTGATGAATGTTGCTGGCTGAGTAAAAGCAGCAGGAAATGGATTACCACTGCAATTACTGAAGCTCTGGGCTCAACCTAACACCTCAGGAGTCAAAGGGGACTCTAGTCAAGTCTTTATACACCCCCATCCCAACTGTGCTTAGATGGCCCAGCCTATCTGGAAAAGGGACCAGGGAGAGAAGCACAGCCAACTCACTGTCCCATCTCCCACCACACCCAAAGCCTCTCTATCCCACCCTAACACCTCTTTTCTCTACCCACATTCTGCATCCATGCAACACACCCTGAAACTAGGCTTGTTCCTTCTTCTTTTTTTTTTTTTAAATGTTTCATTGTGAATTATGTGATAGTTTACATGGAATAACATTAGTTTTACATTCATCCTATCGTATATCGTTTCATTGCCATAGTTACAATCCCCTCCGTGCATCATCAACTAACCAAAGTGTATGCATTACCAGTCTGCCCCTCCCCCCCCAGTCATCAGCACACAGCCCCTCTCTCCCTGTGTCTAAAGTCCCCAACTGCTCCATCTCTCTACGTCATCGTCTCTGCCTCCATCTCAGGCATCACTGCTTCTCTGGGTAGGGGTCCCAACTCTCCGCTCTTCACCCTTCATGGTCCCAGGGACCTCCGCTCCTAGTCTGAAAACTTAATCACTCCCATCCTTGCTACAAAATAGGCTTATTCCTTGACGGATGAAAGCTACTAAAGAACAGCTTGATTTGGAGAGCAGCACTAGCACCAATTAGATATATGGCACTCTAGGTTCACTGGGGAAAAGTCTGGGGGAGATTCTGGATGGCTAACTTCCCAAGTTGCTGTACTCAGGGTATTAAATGGCATAAATTAAGCTCAGTTCCCTCTCCTGTCAGAATCACTCACCAAGAAGAACTTACATGTTGGATCTTATCCCAAATGCTGAGTGGCTATTATACAGTGACAGCAGCCAATGGCTGAATGCATTTTGGTGTCAGCAGTTAAGAGTGGGACTGTACTGGAGCCTGGGTGGTGGTGGGAGGTATCTTTACCCTCTTTTCTTGGTACCCACAGATCTGTTTTTCCCCATACCACTGTGAGTGTCATAAACTTTCAATTACTCTGACTGCATTCAAGAGACCAAGCTAGGTAATGGAGAGAGTTCAGGCTTCTGGGAGGATGACAGCTTACTTTCAAAGATGAACATCATTTACCAAGCAGCCCTGGTATTGTACTGGACTACGAGCTGGGCTGCTAACCACAAGGTCAACAGTTCTAATCTACTAGTCACTCAACAGGAGAAAGATGAGGCTTCCTGATCCCGTAAAAATTTATAGCCTCAGAAACCCTGTACAGGGTCGCTACGAGATGGAACCGACTCCATGACACATAACCACCACCACCTGTCATCTAATACCAATCAGGGGACTTTCTAGAGAAGACCCCACAAGGAACCCAGGCAAGGTGGACACTCAAAAGGTACTAACTGATAAACAGAACCACGATGCTCACTCAGGACATCATGCAATTCGATTTTTCCCTATCGAGTTCACTCATTCACAATCCCATAGCTACAGCCTCCTTAGCATCTCACAGTTCAACCATCACTCACTTCTTAAAAGAAGTTTATTATTTTTGTTTGCTATAAATATATACCACAATGTTTTTAAAAGGATGTGGAGGGATACTGGATATGATTTAAAAGGATGCTGACCCCATAAAGAGGAAACCACTCAAGACAAAAGGTTTTCAGAATCTGCTCTACCTGTTAAATGTGGTTCAGCCCCCACCCTCCCTCCCTTTCCCCCTGCAAGTCCTGAGGAGTCCTCGGAGTCCCACTTACTAGATTTCCATGAAATTCTGGCCTAGAAGTAAGCCAAAGAGTTTTTTTTTTAAGGTTGGCTGAGTTGTTTTCAGTAAATCTGCACGAAACACGTTCAAGAACTGTGGGGGGCGTTTCTTTGCTTGCCGGCAACGAAGAACAATTTAGGATAAGCCCTTATTAAAAAGGGACGGTGAAAAAAAAATAATAATGAATGAATGACGGGACACAGCAGCTCGTTAAGGGCTTTGTTCCCTGAGCCCTTTCCATGCCTGCCAGCCTGGAGCCTCTGTGTGAGAGGTGGCAATCATGAGGGGGCACATGGAACAGCAAGGTGGAGGAAGACACCTGCCCAGATGACCACTGCGGCTGAACTACCCCTGAGGCTATCCTCCTGGGGCCCTCCTCACCGATCTGTGCTGTGGACCAATGGGTGAGGATGCAATAGCTTCCCAGGCTGTCATATGAGGCACATCTGGTTTAAGGCAAAAACTACAACCCAAGGCCAACTGAGACCTCTGTCCCTCCAGAAGCCCCTGAACTCTGTCCCTCCAAAAGGCAGTGTCCGGGTCCCAACCCTGAACAGAGAGGCCCGGGGTCCTTATGGAGGACAGACATTCAGTGGAAGTAATCATGGGCATCAAACCAGCACCTCTGCATTCAGCTTTCATGATGAAGGTCTGGGGTCTGTGGCCTCATAGACTTGAAGATGCACAATATCTGCAGGGCTCTGGAAACCCGTTTCCAGCAGAAAATGGAAGTGGAGGCTCATTCTTTGAAGACTCATAAAAGGTCTGACACACAGATTTAGAAAATGTTGACTGGATGGGAACAGAACTCTGACCTGACCTTACAGCTTTTAAAGCTCACATCTGAAACTCATACCATCTTCCTTCACTACTGCTATCAAAGTTTAAAACAATACACCTTCCTGTTTCACTAATTTGCTTAACTTTAACAAAACAAAGCAGACAAGCACTGCCCAAGTGGAACACTTAGGGGCTCCTCACCCATGCTCTCAGCATGCTGGCAGGCATGCCCCTCTGAAGGCTGGGCAGCTGACTCTGCAACTGGAGGCAAGAAAGATTGGTGTAAGGGCAGAGGGAAAGATGCAACCACCCCCAAGCCACCCCTTCCCTGCGTGCCCTGGGAATTGAGTAGGGGCTGAAACTGTCCTTCCTTTACCATGGAATTCCAGAGGGAGATTAAGAACACCCCAACTTACTGGCATCAAATCCACTGTGACTCACAGCAGTCCTACATACAGAAGAGAACTGCTCCATAGGTTTCTGAGACTGTAAATCTTTCCAAGGGCAGACAACAGCCTCATCTTTCTCCCTGGCGCAGCTGGTGGATTTTAACTGCCAACCTTGCAGTTGGCAAGAAAAAAAAAGTGATGCCCCAAAATTCACATGCAAGATCTGAACCCATGACACTTTTACTTATTTCCAGTAAGACAGAAATGTTGCTTATCAGCTTTGCCTGGAAACAAAATGCACTCACTTAAGATCAACAAAACTGGTTAGTTCTGGACACTCTTGAAC